CATAATAATCATAATAATCATAATAATCATAATAATCATAATAATCATAATAATCATAATAATCATAATAATCATAATAATCATAATAATCATAATAATCATAATAATCATAATAATCATAATAATCATAATAATCAAAACCTCAACACAAACTCCCCAGCCCTTTACCCTAAGACACCTCCTACTAAACGCAATACACACCTATAAAACAGTAGTCCCTCTCCTCAATTAAGAAAAAAAAGATAAACGCCACAACAAACAACATTCAAACGTTTTATTTCCAAAAAAAACACAAGCTTCTTCCTCTCCATAACCTTAAGGCCTACCACCTCCTCCTCCTCTCGAGCATTACCTTGAGTGGGAAGGCCGAGCTCGGACAGTTTGGCTTTCAGGTCGACCACCCTGAGCTTGGCCAACTCCTCCTCCGTCACGGCCATGGCTGGTTAGGTCTTAACCACCCTTTAACAAGTAATTCTGATCCACGAAACGACCAATTCAACAATCACACCAGACAACTCGAGGCTAACAAAACATTGCCGAACTTGGCCGTTGGTTCCTCTTCCACGGAGGGTCTCTAGGGAAGCCCCACGCGTTTTTTTTCTCTCTTTCTCTCTCTGTTATGTTTGTCTTTTTCCTTTTTTCTTTTGTTTTTTGGTGTGAGGGAGGAGGGTTTCAGATACGGTGGAAATGTATAGGAATGGTGGTGGTAAATTCATCAGCCGGGAGTTCGACGTCACTTTTGAAACGTTTTGTGTTTGTGTGCGTGTGTTATGTTTGTGCGTGTTGTGTGTATAAATATACTTAAATACACACACGTCTATATACATATATAATATAATATAATATAATATAATATAATATAATACAATATAGCGCGCGCGCGCGCGCGTGTGCGTGTGCGTGTGCGTGTGCGTGTGTGTGTGTGTGTGCGTGTGCGTGTGCGTGTGCGTGTGCGTGTGCGTGTGCGTGTGCGTGTGCGTGTGCGTGTGCGTGTGCGTGTGCGTGTGCGTGTGCGTGTGCGTGTGTGTGTGTGTGTGTGTGTGTGTGTGTGTGTGTGAACTTATTCATTGCGACATGCAGAAAAGGTATAAGAACGAAGAATGAATATCTTCACAATACAAAAAATGTATTTGACCGGCTTCGATTATACCTTCGTCAGAAGTGCATGTATATCTGACGGAGATATAATCGAAAACGGTACGCTCCCTACCAAGTTTGCGTCTAATGGAAAAAAAAATAAATAATTCACTTTTTCGCACTCACTCACTCTTGTATCTCGCTTCTCAGCTCCAGTGTGTGTGTACTCATATGAGATCAGCAGTGAACTGACTTCGTGTGAGTTGGCGCCTCTCCTGACCGAGGTCATCGTGGTGTCAGGCCAAAACGCACCTGAGATTAGTTCCGTCACTAATATAGGATTTTTGCCCTTACTCCCGAGGCAAGAACGCCTTTAATCGCTTATCAGAACTTCTGGTGTCTGGAAAACAGCTCAGGTGCTGGTGTCTATTCCTACTTCGCTTCACTCTTTTGTAACTTGTCATAACACTTTCGGTATACCCAATTAAGTATCAATATAACTAATATAATGGGTCCTTTTTATCTCTATTCTGGCTAGTAACATCCCACACGCGCATTCGCACGCAGGTGTGTGTGTGAAGGGGGGTGGGGTGCAGAGAGAGAGAGAGGAGGGAGATCTGCTTAGGAAACAGTTCCCTAAAGTTAAAGAGATCATTTAGACCCATATCCCTCTCAAAAAAGTGTGAGCCAATTGTTTACTCCATGGGGTTTGGGCTCCTTCGTACGCATCTGTGGACTAGAGACGTTCATTGGCCATGGACAAAGTCTCCTGCGTCCGCCTGTGTATGGGACCAACACTGACCACATCATTGAACAGAATATATCCGCTGTTATCAACGTAGGAATTGATATTCATGATCCGGCGACGAGTAAATATCTGATGGCAACATTTCACATGAGTGGCATTCACTGCTGCTATGCAGTTAAGCTGTTCCTCTTCGACACTGGACTCTAACATCAAGTATCATTAGCCTGCTATTCGGATAGTCACTGATGATTTTTAAAATTATATTATGACATATTGCAACAGGAGCTTATCGAACTTAATAACTACGAAATGCAAATTGATGAAGAGCTTGCTGCAAGAATAATTAATAAAGAATTTCCCCACAACACAAGTAATGTGTACAGAGCTGATGCACGTTCCTGAGCACAGATGCATCCACCATGAATGGCTCAGCACCACAGCGTGGTCACTCTGTGGTACCTTGCCCAATCAGCTCACAAACCATGGTTATTCAAATGAGAGTAGTAGCAGTGATGATTAGATGAACGAGTGTGGAGAATCCACAGATTCGAAAGATGAATAGCTGTCCAGTAATTACCTAAATAATCACTGGAATTTTGTGTTGTTCAAATACTTCTAGAATAACTAGATATTGTTGTTTTTTATTAGAATTACTGTCTTTACAAGACAGCACTG